GTACTTCTTCGTTACTTTCTTCATCCTCATAAAACTCACTGGTGCAGAAAAAGTCATCGACTGCATCTTGGCTATTGAGTTGACATCTGGCTTCAGCATTCAAAACTTCCTCCTTAAATTTAGCATTGCTCAAGTGCAGCTGTTGCTGGTCATCATGAGAAGATCCACCAGAGACACCGGACATATCACAAGTGGTGGTAGCAAGTCCAATCAAGTCCTCTTCATCACAAACATCAGCATCCTGATGGTGAGGTGATGTTAAACAGTCTTCTGTAGACATTTTGATTGCTCCGGGTAGATAATAGTTCTGATATGTGCACAAAAAAGCAAGAAAAACACATGTTTAACAGCAAAATACATTGGAAGAAGAGTACAGGCAGTATACTCTTTGGTTATTTCAGTAAAGTCACGTAGGTAAAAAAAATGATCACGACGTTTCGATCGCAACACAAGCAGTCGTCCTCAGGAGGAAAAAATAATCCAGCAGTGGAACTGCTGAACCAGCGAGAGAGCTGTTACAACAAGGTTATATAATCCAGCGAGAGCTGTTACAACATGGTTATATTACCTTGTTGTAACAGCTCTCTCGCTGGATTGTTTTTTACGCCTGAGAACGATCGCTTGTGTTGCGATCGAAACGTCGTGATATGTTATTTTTTGTTTTGTTTAATTGTTTCTACCCACGTGACTTTACCGAAAGAACCAAAGAGTATGGAATCCTGCAGTCACGAAAACTTCAAATCAAGATAGTACAGCCAGTTATCGACATACAAATGCCCGACTTACGAACATCCGCACTTAAGAACCAGCTTCCTGATTTTTTTACATTGACTTAAAACGCGAACTTGGGCTTGCATACTGAAGCGCGGAACTATGTTGTTCAGTGGAGTGATCCTCCACAAGATGTAATGAGTCAGCCTCGCACGGGGAGTGAGCGTTTGTGTGTGCGCGCACATTTGTGCCTATGAAAGTGAGTGAGCGTGTGTGTGAAAGTGAGCGTGTGGGGAGCGGTCGTGTAGCAGCGGTTAGCAAGCTGTGCTACGAACCTGACGACCCGAGTACGATTCCTGCTTATGGTCAACACCAATGACGATTATCTGATCCGGTCCTGGGCCTCCCCTAGGTCGACTCAGCCTCAAATGAGTATCTAGTGCGGTATGTAAACATCGCCACTCAGGAGACAAAGGCGGCCGCGCGTACTTTTGGCCACCGACCTCCTCACGTGCCATGCCGGTCTTCATAGGTGCTAGCTAACAGCACTTGCCTCAACAGTCTGTTAAGGATATACACGAGATCTTTGTATTTGTGTGTGTGCGTGCGTGGTGTGCAATTGTGGTGACTCATTGTGCCCCTTCGGACAAGCAAGCCAGTGTCAGGATTCAAGGTCAGTAAACGTAAAACTGATTTTTTTTTCTATTTATGTTACTTCATTTTATGTTTTAATAACTATATAGTACTTACTAATGCAAATGTACAATATGTTTTGTTATTAATGAGTTGTAACAATGCTTCCCTTTTTTGTTGACGCGTAACAAATTTTATGACACCGACCGTATGGGCATTTAAATTCAGTGCATTATTGGGTTGCGACTGACGAACCATTCGACTTACGAACGGGTCTCAGGAACTGAGGTAAACTTTTATGATGAGGGAAAACTCGGTGAGATGATGGAGAGCTGAGTATTGCATTTAAGAATATTAAGCCACTATGGACAGATAACAGCAAGTCTACGGTCCAATGTAACCGACCACGCAATAATCTCTGCATTTACCAACGCAGGCCATGAGTAAAGTAGGAATTTAAGACCAAGTTAGTACCACATACCACTGTATTATCATGAATTGACACAAGTCATCATTTATGTAGGTACAGTACCTACATAAAATAACAAAACATTAAACGTCTCTCATTATTTTATAGCATGGTGACCCCCTCCCTCCTCGCCACAACTTTACCTTGCAAGAGGTGACGAGTCGAAGCTCCCGGTTCAAGAGAGGTTACAGCACGGTCATTGTTGCATACGGTACTCTCACGATCGTGATGGTACCTGGAAAATAAGCAGGTAGACACCAATTTGTCGATTTAAAGCTTCTTTCGTGACTGCAGGGATTCATCTTCTTGGTTCTTTCGGTAAAGTCACGTAGAAGGGAAGTAATAAAATAATAAAAATAAAACTATAAAATAATACAAATAAAACATAATAAAATAATAAAAACTAAAACATTATACAATTATAAAAATAAAACATAATAAAATTATACAATAAAACATTATGAAATAAAAATAAAACATAATAAAATAATAAAAATAAAACAATTAAATTTCGATTTAAAGCTTCTTTCGTGACTGCAGGGATTCATCTTCTTGGTTCTTTCGGTAAAGTCGTCACGTAGAAGGGAAGTAATAATAATAAAATAATACAAATAAAACATAACAAAATACAATTCTCACGACGTTTCGGCCACAACGCAAGCAGCCGTCCTCAGGTGTCGGAAAGACAGCGTCCGAATGAACACCACCAAGTTTGGCAGCGTATATTTAAGCTGGGTTAGTGGAGGTGGGCGCCTTGACAAAGGAATTTACATATTTATGGGAAATGCAGATATGGGATTAGTCACTACTTGTGAGTATTTTGTCTTATATACTGCATACAAATATAACTTAGCTTTGACTAAGGAACGATATCGTAAGGAAGAGCATCCGTGCCTATAACATCTTGACACTGAAACGTTCTTACCCCGTGCCCCTACAGGTAGAAGTGTTATTCAAACAATGTTCAGCGATTCATATTCTTGGTTCTTTCGGTAAAGTCGTCACGTAGAAGGGAAGTAATAAAATAATAAAAATACATTTAAAGCTTTCGTGACTGCAGGGATTCATCTTCCTGGTTCTTTCGGTAAAGTCACGTAGAAGGGAAGTAATAAAATAATAAAAATACATTTAAAGCTTTCGTGACTGCAGGGATTCATCTTCCTGGTTCTTTCGGTAAAGTCACGTAGAAGGGAAGTAATAAAATAATACAAATAAAACATAATAAAAGAATTCTCACGACGTTTCGGCCACAACGCAAGCAGCCGTCCTCAGGTGAAGACCAGGTCTGTCGGGGAGACAGACCTGGTCTTCACCTGAGGACGGCTGCTTGCGTTGTGGCCGAAACGTCGTGAGAATTGTATTTATTATGTTTTATTTGTATTATTTTATTATTATTATTTCCCTTCTACGTGACTTTACCGAAAGAACCAAGAAGATGAATCCCTGCAGTCACGAAAGAAGCTTTAAATGTTTTATTTTTTATTATTTTATTACTTCCCTTCTACGTGACTTTACCGAAAGAACCAGGAAGATGAATCCCTGCAGTCACGAAAGAAGCTTTAAATCGAAATTTAATGTTCAGCGAGTTTCGGAATATCTTTTGGTAAACCTGTATTCTTTACTAGTGTATCAAGTAATTTAAGCGACTCGCTCACTGAAACCTTAGCGAATAGCGAAATCACATCAAAACTCACCAACATATCATGAAGTTTAAGTTTAATATCTTTGATCACATTCACAAGATGTTCTGAATTTCTTATGAGTGAAGATGTCCTACCGATGTAGGGCTGTATTTGTTTAGTTTAGCTTTGACTAAGGAAGAGCATTCGTGCCTATAACATCTTAACATCTGTAATGTTCTTACCCCGTGCCCCTACTTACTGGGGCACCCTTGAACAAGAGCTTTGTAAATTTTTATTTAAAGCTTCTTTCGTGACTGCAGGGATTCATATTCTTGGTTCTTTCGGTAAAGTCACGTAGAAGGGAAATAGTAAAATAATAACAATATAAACCAATAAAATAATAAAAATAATAAATATTGTTGTGGATTTCACACCTGATGATGATTGCTTGTGTTGCAATCGAAACATCTTGAGAATTGTTATTGTTTCATATTATTTTATTATTTCTCTTCTACGTGACTTTACCGAAAGAACCAAGAGCTTTATAGCTCTTCGGATTCCTCCTGCGGTATAAATAAAAATTATAATCTCGCAGTTCGCAAGCATTGGTTGAAGCCTGACTACCATGTGAGACGTCGACACCGGCAGTTTGCTTGAATTTAAACAATGTTCCTGAAACGATGCACTTTTAAGGAAGTGTTAAAAAAATGTTTTTACGTGGAGGTACATATGTGTGAATAAGGCATTGATCATACCATGTTACTTATATTCTCCATGACGACACGAACGATTGTTGTTACACATTGGACCACCAATTGACCACCCCCACAACTATGCTAACACAGACAATAGTTATGACAGCAATGTATGATATTACACCTCAGTTGTTGTGGATTCTGAGTCGTGGCTGAGGGGAAACTGGCCCAGACGTCGTGCTTGCGCACACACGAAGTGAGTTGTCCACGCCGCTCAGTGCTGGCTTGGTGTTAGTCGACGTTAATTGTCGGTTGTTTGATGTTTTCTTTCGCGTTGGTTAGAAATATACAGTATTTGCTTGTGTAAACGAAGCTCCTCAGCGGGAAAACCGCGAGTGCGCTCGACGCCAAAGAGATTTTTAAAAAGGCGGGAAAACTCTTGGCCAATCAGAGAGCGAAGAATCCGCCCCCCCCCCCCCCTCTCAACGGGGGGGGGGGGGGGGGAGTGGGCGGGGCATCGCGAGACGGTGCAGAGGTGGCAGGGCCCATCAGCCACCAGTGCCAGGGATTTCACTTTCACGAGGCACGTGGTGGCACCACTAGGAGTTGTTCTAACTAGAATAACTCGAGAGAAAATACATTAAATAATAGAGTACGACGTTTCGATTGCAACACAAACAACCGTCGTCAGCTAGAAGGAAATTTGAGAGAGAGACAAAAGACAGACACGCACGCAGAGAGACAACACAACTCTAATTATTTTATTTTATTTCTTTCTACGTGACTTTACCGAAAGGACCAAAGAAAGATTCAAATAAAGTTTGTTATAACTACTTACTACCTGGTCAAAGACCCCAACGCAGAAAGCTCCCCGGGTTTGGTCTCCTCCCACGAAGCTCATGGTCCACCCTAAAACCGCATCCGCGAAAACCACGTTATATTTTGCGTTTTGTTAAAGTACGGTTTTGACGTAAAACTTTGGTGACTGCACGGACATATTCTTTGGTTATTTCGGTAAAGTCACGTAAATAGAAATAAAATAAACATAAAAATAATTAAAAACCAAACGTCGTGAGGTTTGGTTTTTATTATTATTTATTTTATTTTATATCTACGTGACTTTACCGAAAGAACCAACGAAAATTGTTAAAGTAAAGTTTATTTGAAACATAAATTGCTATGCAACGGGAAAACAATGTTAGGGGTCAACTCATTGAGGGATCACAAGACATCTAGACCGCCCTGTACACTGAATTGTTCGCGAATACAAAAACTGAGATGATTAAACCCCGTAAATATGCTTGGAACAAGTCCAGAACACCGCTCCATGGATTTAGTTTGGCCACACCCCATCCATCTTTCCCTACGTATTTATAAATCTGCTCATAGCACTATAGGAATAAATCCGGGTCCGCTACGTACGGTGCGAAAGACGTTCAACTTACAGCAGACGATCGATATGATGGAATTGTGCAGGACGATGTCATGAAGGGGATGCGTTAATTTCGTATCATTAATATCCGTGGTGAATAGTACCATTCAACTGTTTACATTAACTATACTGTAGGGTAATCATGGGAAGAAATTATATTGTAAATTTGAGAATCGAATGGCTAACCGCTGATCGATGCGATGGATTCGCATTCTCAGGGGCCACTAGCCAACTCCTTCAAGAAGCTCATGGGTCAGAGTCGACACTGATATCACTTAAGGTGGAAACAACTTTAGTCATAACGATATTTATTTTTTTGCAAATAAGAGTTAATTATTTGCCAACTCGGCTATTTAACATGCGTATTACATTATTCGCTGTTACTAGCCACATAACTAAATTTGAACCACTCAAGCTAAATAATATTGAGTGGTACTGACAAGTCAAATATCTTCTCTGGGCTCATGGACTAAAGGTGGGAAGTGAGACAAACCAAAAAGCAGTATAATAGTAGGTTTTTACCCTTTTAACTGGTACAAAACTGACACCTTTATTCAAGGCATCATGTTTGCAATGACCACAACACAAGTAGTCAAAAAAGCAAACAAAAAGAAGCAACTCTGATAAGGATGATAATATGCACTGTCCTGGTCATTGCAAACATGATGCCTTGAATAAAGGTGTCAGTTTTGTACCAGTTAAAAGGGTAAAAACCTACTATTATATTTTGCCACTGGTAAAAGAGATCTCATAGCAAAAAGCAGTAGTTGACCACTTCACAACTCCTCTTCCCCCGCGGCCCTTCCTGGCTCTTCCCCCCTTAACCACGATATAAGGTCGTGCCTCTTGGGACTTCTCTTCACTTGATACAGATAATTTGCTGTGACAGTTTCACCTGAAGACGGAAGCTTGTGTTGCCTCCGAAACGTCGTGATTTTATTGTTTTTATTTTTTGTTATTAATTTTAATTTCATTTTTTACCTACGTGACTTTACCGAAAGAACTAAGAGTATGGGATCCTTGCAGTCACGAAAGCTTCAAATCTAGAACAAACCAACCTCACTCATTGGTCGCTAGATGTCGCTAGATAGCCCACAAATCGAGTCATAAATATCACGTATTAAGCACAGTAACCTGATGCGGGATCCTTAAAAAGCACCTTGGTTCGCTCGGAAATGTACAGAATTCCCTCGTCCCAGAAAGTTGGCAACGCTGGCGGCAGGGCGACTAATCGTTCCCTTGTGTATACGTCATATGTACCGTTTATACTGCAATCCATATTAAAGTGCATTACATAAATTGTACACACTCGTCTGTAAATTGAAATTTCTATTGAATGTAATTTGTCGTGGATGTTTTCATGTGCACCGTTTATTTTTGCTTCATTTTGCCTGCTGACGTGGATTACAAACACTTCCCGATAAAACTTGTCCCCAACTCATCAACAATTGAAAATTGTTGATTGTATATGATTACCACAGTCTTGTATGGCCAGATAACACGTTGCATGATATATAACATGAGCACATCTTAAAAAAAATAGTTTTGAAATCATGTATAGCTTATGGACCTTTTTCCCAACTTCACCAAGAAAACAACAAATAAGACAAAAAATCTTGCAGTAATATACTATTAATAGAGTGCAAAAATGCAGTCTGCGGAACAAGCGTTGAAGAAACGTCACTGATCACACGTTAGTCTTCTAAGGCAGCGTCGTTGACGAGTATGAGTTTAATGTTCATCTTCCCTGTGCGCTACTGCCAACGCAGCATCGCCAAACAATGTACAACAACTATAATCTTCGGGTGCCATTATTTGAGCTTAAACACAAGAGTGCATTGGTGAGTCGAGCAGATAGTCCACACACAAGCGTTGGTACATCATCTTCAACAAGTGGTGAGCCCTCACAGCTGCACGAGACAAGTATGCGTATCTATTTCAGCAGTGAAATAATGAGCTTAATTGTAAAGGCGAACAAAGCAGCAACACTTACTTAATCCATAATTTATATTTGCAGTTGTGTTATCATCATACAAGCACAGACGAAATGTTTTCGTTCATACATTTTTATCTAATATGCATTGCGCTTTTATTTATAACCAGGTGAATCAAATGTATCCTTAATTAGGTGGTTTATGAATATTTAAAATTGAAACTTTATTTATTCTTTATATTTCGAATTAAAGCTTTCGTGACTGCAGGGATTCATATTATTGGTTCTTTCGGTAAAGTCACGTAGAAGGGAAATAATAAAATAATAAAAATTCTAAAAATAAAACAATAAAATTCTCACATTTTATTATTTCCCTTCTACGTGACTTTATCGAAAGAAGCAAGAATATTATTCTTTATAGTACTTAGAATACCAATTTTTGAGATGACAGCACTTTAAAACATATGCCAAATAATCCCTCTGAAGGGTACAGTCAAATGTGCTAATTCATTCCAATGGGTGTCTTTTGTAGTCATTGGTAGACATGATCACTCATTAGATAAACTACATTTTATTATGGGTGAAATGCCTAGGATGTCATCTTCAAAAATTCTGATAAAGCACTAACCAGGGCAAAACGATCACACTGAGAGCCACCGAGCTACCTTCCTACTCGATGGCATTGCCAAAGCTCTCTATTATTGTATTTGTTTTATCCTTTTCTGGCAAGCACACACATAGAGTATACGAGTGATATTCCACAAGAGCACTCAATTCAAAAGAAGCATAGTATAACTGTTAAAACCATGAGCTGGAGTTAAGTGGCGGTGCAGTAATGACCTGAATTCCATTCCTGACCATGACGATAATCGGTGGCGGCTGGTATCTGAACTAGTCCCCCTTCACCAACCAGCAATGACCAGCGCGGTGAAGTATGGCCATGCACCCCCATGGACGGTATAGGAGGCCTACATACTGAAATGGAATGACAATTTGCTAAAAAATCACGTACTATTATACCATAACCTTGCTACATCGTAGGAGCTTGAGAGATGGCAACAGCTTGGGGAGTCGTTCATCCAGTAGTGAATGTGAGATTATGATGATGATGATACCATAACCTAGTTCTACAAATATATAATTTATGCTCGGGCTGCATATGTATTCACAAATGTATTATTAGGTGTGTTTTAATCGGGTCGGATAAACATACCCTTGCCTGAAAGCGCACTTTCTTGTGGCATGTTATAACACATGACACCAATGCCTGTTAATGTCAGAAATGCAGACACACTCCCAACGGTGAAGGCTCACGTAAGCGTGGCATGTTTGGTCTGATATATTTAAGTCTTGTGCGCTGCTCGGCCCACCACCACAGTATTGTCATGTCTGGTTATAGCAGTTTTTTATGACAGTATTTTGACGGCTGCCTTGGGCATTCTAAATCACATTGACAATAAAATGTTATAGATTAAAATGTTTTAGGCTATTATGTTTTTACTGTGGTGTGTATAGGCATGTGCAAGTATTACAATAAGGCACTGATGTAGGACACTTTTCAAAGACGTAAGTGCGTATGTGTAGCGTGTAGCTGGCAGCATTTTAACTTTTAAGAATATAGCATGAGAAAAAATGCGATTTCTTAGAATGTACTGTAGTGCTTTGTACCTCGCGTGTGCAGTTGATGTCATAAGTATAGTCAGGACTTAATTTATTCACTAAACATATTCAAGGTTGCTTTCAGACGAGCAGCCACGAGTTTAATGTATGTCACCTTATGCATTTGTGGGCGACACATTCAACCACAAAAAAGACCAATGCGATTACAACCAACGTCGTTGAAATTATAATTACGCCGGAAATCAAATACAGGTAATACTCTTCCAAGTACAGATTTAATTATAAAACAGTATCCAAGATTTATATAACTGGTTCTAGTGGTCAGAGATCGCTGACTCTCTGTTGTCACCAACCTCAATT